TAACAGGCTTAATTAATACGGTAAGTGACGTTACAAGTCGAGATTTCGCAAGATTATCCTGACGCTTTCCTTCATTCGTAGAGTTTAAGCGAAGTGGTGGCTATCCTGGATTATCGAATACAGCTCCGTTAGTGCGATTCGAGAACGCCCGGTCGCCGATGACACGGCTGCACGTTCGTGTGCGAAACCTCGCGTAGGATCGCGATAGCGCGCGCGGAGTTTCGATAAACGCTGTCATATCCTCGCGCCGGAACGGCAAGCGCGTTTTACGGTAAACACCCAAGCCTGACTATGCTATGACGCGAATAACACTCGGGATAAAGTGAGCGTGGCAACGCTCGCGCTCACTTTAAAGGCCGCGAGCGAGCGAGCGAGAGAGAATTCTCTCCCGGCCGAAGATACAACCCTTTTTACGCCTATCGGCGCGCTTTCGCCTCGAATCGGCGCGGAGGTGCGTAAAGTACGCGATTTACCGAGTGATACCACCGAGGAGACCGAGGCGGCTCTCCTCAAGGGCGCGATATCAGCTGCCCGTGGATTAAATTCGCGGTCCGCAGCTGGGAGGAAGCGAGCGGGCGAACGAGAACGGCGACTATCCCCCCTCCCCCCCCCACCGCCTGTCCGCGTCGTATTAACGTCGTTAATTAATACCGTAACCAGCGCATGACGGCGCCTTAATCGAACACGCCCTTCTTTGGCGTCGTATCCTTTTCGGGAGGAGATGATCATCAAGTTCGTCGCTCCCGCGAGTCCTCTTATTGGCAAGACCGCGCTCTCTCGCCGATAAGCCTCGCGCTTGCTGAGTTAGAAGGAGAGGAGGAGGAAGATCGACGGAGAACGAACGGCAGATCGCGAAATGGCGTATCAGCTCGGCCGTGTTAATTACGCGCGCATTATAACGACGGCACGCCAGGTGTGACGTCACAAACCGGCCGCGAAATTGTTTTTCTCCCGTTGCTTTTACAAAATCGCGCGTGTATCTTATTCCTTCGTCTCAATGTCCTCCTCCCGAGAGTGAATTCCTCTTCCTTTTTCCCCTCTCTCCCCCTCCCTCCCTCCCTCCCTCCCTCTCTTCTGGTTTTTTTCCGCCGTTCTTCTTTCTTATTTTTCTTCATGGAACGGAGCGATTAAGCCGATCGGTTATCGCGAGAAAGAATCAGGATGTGAGCGCGAATATTGCGTCGAATATCTGCTTTTGGATTATAAGCGACGCGCGTAGCCACGGAGTTCCTATCTACGCGCGAAATTGCGTCTCAGTTACAATTTGTAGCAATAGTAATTATCATATTTGTTGTGCGTCGGTAGGTGTAACTATTAAAAGCCGGGGAAAATTATAGGCTGCTCGCTCTTCCTGTTTGTATAAGCCGGCGGCATTCTCTCTCTCTCTCTCTCTCTCTCTCTGCCGCCGTGTTAAATATTCGCGCGAGTCTCTTTGGGTAATCTTAAAACTCGTTCTCTCCGCGTTTTCCACGGGCGAAGAGAGAAAAAGAGCGAGATTGTCGGACTTTGCCGGAAAGATTTCACCGCGGCGGAACGCCGTCTCGGATACACGTATTGTTATCGTTCTTAATGTCGTCGCCGTCGTCGGCGCGTTTTTCACACATCTCGCTTGGAAATTTCGGAGATGCGCCGAAGCTCCGTCCGAGTTGTCCGCGTCGTTTTACGTTACCTTCACTCGAATGTGAGATATTCCCCGGCGAAGAAGCGCGCGAGAAAGACGGGAAACCTGTCGTGCGCGCTCTTTCGTGCACGAAGATGAGAGCGGAGGGATCGTAAATCGAGATGACTGCTCGCGCAGGTGAATGGGGTATATGATAGCATTGCCGGGAGAACCGGCGCGCGAGGGAAAGTCATGACAGAAACAATCTTGATGGCACAAGCCACTTGTTCTCAGCCTTCCGACAGTCCACTCTCGGTTTCTCTCTTTCTCTCTCTCTCTCTCTCTCTCTTGTCGCGTAATACTAAAATATAATGAGAATCGAGGAGCGCCTATCGTTTCGCGCATCGAGGAAAAGCAAGCTCGAACGGCACTCTAATAACTTAGGAACAATTCTAGATAACTCTCCCGGGCCTGTCGCGGCGAGCGTTTGTAATTTTTAACGTAAAATGAAGAATGTCAGATGTTAGATAAATTTTACGAAAATATCTGATCTTAAAATGTAAAATCGAAAGCCTGAAAACGTTCGTAAGATCATTTGTGTAGGGGAGAAGCACCAAGGCAGAGGCACCATTTTCTTTCTAGATTCGAAATCTCTGTTGAAAGTGTAAAGTTGAAATTTATGTATCGATGCGAACAACACTTCTTTACCCAAATATCTGATAGCTTTACGAAATTATTACGTATTCCTTTGCAAATAATTATGTTTTAAGACGTTTGAAGATTGACGCTTCTAGAAGCTAAGCCCTCTTCTAGAAGAAAATCCGACATACTTCTGTGGGAAATTATGTTCGACTTCGTTCTGCCCGCCTGAGTCCGGTACTTTACAGCCGAGAAACACGAGTAACTCGGTTCGCCATACCTAATTCAGTCTCGGCGCTTTTCCTGTGTTTAATCGCGATTCAACGGTAACTGTGCGAAAGCGTGCGCTGTGCGCAACACACAGTCACGCAAACGACGGAAGGCTCTCTTCGCGAGTCGATCGCAAGGAGAATCGCACGACTGAGCGCGACAACGGAGTGCAAGCGGGAAACTCGGGAAAACCGCGTGGAACGGCTACCGGAATGAGCGAGCGCCGCACACGCCGGTGAAACCGTCGCGACTTGGCGCGCTCCCCTATGGGCTCTCCTACAAATACGGCAATCGTCTCGGGATCGGATAAATCAGTCGCGACAAATGGGAACGCGACACCTAACTGCGCGGCACTTTCTTTATGCTAATTCCCCCGAGTAAATCGCGCGTTCGCGATCAGCGGCTCTTTTCCGACGCTCGGGACAGGCAGGCCGGGCGGGCAGAAGGAAGGAAAGAAAGGTTGTGTGAGGCGTAGCGGCACTCCGAGGCGATATTGCGACAAGACGCGATAGAGCCGACGTGGGAGAACGGGCATAGAAGAATGCGTAATTGTTTTGAAAGAGAGACCGAGCTTCGTCGCCGCCGCAGCCGCCGTCGTCATCATCGTCTTTCGTGTGGGATGTGTGAAAGGCGGCCTGCCGACGCCGAGCATAAACGACGAGGACAGGTTTCGTTTCTTTCGTCGTCGTCCGCATATCCGCCATACCGACCTCTCTTTTAACGCGATCCGCTCGTAAGACACGCGCGTGCACACGAGCGCAGAAACCACTCGGTCCCTTAATGGGACACACCGCGCAATACGCCTGATATTCGTTGCATTCCCAGCGCTACCATCCAGTCACTTGTATAGCACCTCTCTCTCTCTCTCTCTCTCTCTCGTCACTTTTTCTCGACGAGTCACGGAAAAAATTCACTATCGTCCAAAATGGCCGTCGCTGTGCTCACCTTTTTCCCTCCAGCTGCCGTAGTTAGTAATTTGCTGTTGTACATTTGTAAGGCATCGACGTTACATTTGTATTTCTGCCGTCTCTTCCTGCCGACGGGAGTGATAAAGTCATTGGTAACATTACGTCACGACGTTATCGATCTCATTAGACGCATGACACTCGCTTGCTTGTGAACGAGGAGCAGAGAACGAAAACGAATTGATAGTCGGTCTTCATCCGACCGAGCTTCTTGCTGTTACGTCCGTATGAGCGGTGCATCATCAGTGTGTGTACACATTCTCGGAAATCCCGCGAGAATCTCGAAGGTCCGAGAGGGGGGAAAGATAGGTCGCCTCGTTAAAATTTTCTCGTGGCCGCAACAAGCGGGAGATTGCAATCTTCCCGTTTTCTGGATCCTCCGACTTACGCCTCGGAATTGCCCGGCATCGCGGGGATTTTCTATCGCACTCGCGCGAAAGTATCCTCCGTTCGGAGAATATTACGCGGATACGCGCCATTCGAAATTTTGAAACAAGATGTATCCGTGCGCGAGAAGCAGTCGAGCGGAGGCATCAACAATGGGGATTATCAGCATTGGCTGAGCCGACTTCAGGTTGATATTGGTCTCTCGAGCCCCGACATATTGTAATCACGCGGATATATTGTGCTCGTGCAATGTACGTTCGTCTACCCCTGCACCTCTCTCTCTCTCTCTCTACCGTTCCATCCTCTTTCTCTCCCTCCTATCCTCCCCTGAGCACCCTCTCTTGGGCTCTTTCTTCGCGCTCGTCCATTCTCCCCCGGCGGTCTCTCTACAGGCGATCAATGCTCTCCTATCCTACCGATAACTCGATAATATTACACGCGAAAACCGCTTCCGACGTGCTCGCCCAGTCAGCGAGCCACTTGTGCGAGCAAATAACCAGTTATCGGAAAACCGATTTTATTTTCGAGGAGCGGTGGCTCTGATTTTTTTCCTTTTCCCTTCCCCTCTTCTTTTCCCTTCTTTTTTTTCGCTCATCCGCGCGCTACTCGACCCCCCGCGTTCCGTCCTCTCGCTCTCTGCTCTCCTCTTCTCTAGTTTTTCTTTTAGTTTCGCTCTGTAGCGTGTACAATAGACACGATTGGCGCGATTAAGATAATTGGTGCGTGACAATACTATTAGAAAGGTGATGATTAATACGATTGCAAGAGGAGAAGCTCGAGAAATCTCTCTGCTAAATGGTTATAAATATGATTTGCAGATCACGTATCTGTTAATATGCTGTTAAAATTTGAAAAGATACCTGAAAAATAAGCTTATCAATCAAGAATCTTAAGGTTGAACGGCGCGATTCTCTCGTTTTAAGTGATAATGCATACTGTTATTTTCTATTGTTCCTTGCTGATTCTCTCAATCTGCAGTTGTTCTTGCATGCAAACAGAGAAACGTGAAATTTGAGGGTACGGTTTTTTTTTTCTATTATTTATTATATCAAACAACGTTATGCAACGAAATTCACCCGCGCACGCGCTTAATTCTCGGTGCTTTTATTAATCGCGCAATTTCTCTTCACGCGTTTCAGGTTTTGAAAGAGTCGATGACAGAGAGGCACAAGCAGCTCATAGAGTTGAAGATTCTTTTCGACCATTTAGAAACACATCGATCACTGCAGAATTACGAGGGCGAGAAAACATCACGGTGAGTTTGCATATGTTCTACACAGAAAGACACGCGAGACTAATGTCGCGATAATCCTGAAAAATAGGCAACGTGATCGAAACATTACGTAAAAGCATAAGACTACTTACGCGTGCTAGTTATTACGAAGCATCACGATGAGTTAGAACGAGCGACAGGCAACTTGCGTTTCTGTCGTGTTATTACAAATTTATATATCTGTTAGCGTTTAATCGCGTCGCAAATTTGACGCACGTTGAAACACGACGAAGAAGGCGCGATACCAAACAGCGCGACAGGCGCGCGCGGCAAAGCAGAAGATATCGAGGGGAACATTTTAGATTAATCCCGCGGTAAACTATTGAAACGCCCGGCTCGTATTGTCGCGGCACCCGAAGTAGATACGGTATCGAAGGAGAAAGGATTGATACAGGATGGAAAGGCGCAAAGGTCCCGGCGATACAAAGCGAACGCGACAAAGAAACTGGCCGCGCTAAATCTCGGACACGTCGGTGATCGACCGCGCGATCAATCTCCGATCGGCGAAACGATTGATTCTTTTCGCCCCGTGTCGATTTCTACGATTCCTCGACCCCGTCGCGTTTACCATTGCCTCTCGGTAATCGTGACACACGTAGGTGGATATCGTTGTAACGTGTCTCGCGTCCTGCGTGTATTTACGGTAATATTTCAAGAGTACATCGCAGTTTGTTACAGCAATATTTTCATATTCCGACGACTCCTCTTCGTACGTGAGATCTCCTGGAATCCGTTCTCCGCCAAGTATACTTCCCATTATCAATTAATTACGCTTGTATATCGCGATTAGTCGAGCCTGTCCACCGGGAAAGATATCGTAAACCTATTCTCGACGACGGTAATAATACGGTATTATGCGCGAGATGCAATTGATTGCACGTAAATTGAAAGTACGCTCAAACACCGTCCGACATTTACGTCAAATGCAGATCACTGATAAGTAAAGCCGCCGGAGGTGAGAGGTTGGCAAAAATCGCGAGTTAGAAAACCGAGATAATTTTGATATTCGAGCAAGAATTTTTCCCTGTATGCGGGGACTGTTATTTCTTTAATGATATCTTAGGTACTTTTGATAATATCTGTGTGTGTGTGTATGAAATCCGAATCATAGTATATTATGACGTAAACGAGTTGTCTCGATAGGAAATTAAATTATTGACGAAGGTATCTTCGTTATCGTGCAGTGATCAAAGATATCTAAAGAAAGCACCGAGTCTTTAATTCGCACATTGAAAAAAGTGTGTTACCAAGTAGCACTTCGAATAACATTTATTTAATCTAAGTGAAATGGTTACTTTAATACTCTGACGAATATTTAATAGAAGCAAAAATACTGACTGTATATAATATGATGTTTCTTTCGTATAAGTAAATACTGGCTGAAAAACAGTAATTACGTATATTTGATTCCCGCACTTCTTTTTTTTTTTGTACTTCGATCGTGAATGCATTCACGCGAACGTGAAGTCTTCCTTTACAATTATTGGAATTTGATTCACGAGCTTCGATGGCTTCGACAAATGAAACGTCGTAAAATTAGCAAACGAGACCCTGAGAACTTTGTATTCACCGTTTATCGCGTCCTTGCGGTAAAATGGAAATCGTCTTTAAGCGCGCGTATCGGGTCTAATCCTACTCGATAATGTCCCTGTCATGCGAAAGTTGTAACTATAAATACATTTGCAACCGCGTACCGCCTTCACAAGCGACATAGCGCCGCTTGTAAGCCAAGCAAGATTGTGCGATAAGAACAATAGAGTTATAAAGCTGTCGAGCTGGAATTTATAACGAGACTAACGCGCGCACGCAATAAATGCATTTAGGTAAAAGGTCCTGCGAGCGATTACATTATCCGCTCCATTCGTTGAGATCCCGTTAACTTTTTGCCGCCAATAATATCTTGGGAACGATAGATTTTCCGTGCGTTCAACTTTCTGTCTTCCACACGGAGACTTCTTCCTTCCACCTCTTCCCACATTTTCATTCTATCTTCTATTTTCCTTTCCGCATCATTCTCTCTATCATTGTATCGCGTACTTGAAATCACGAAAATGTCATCGTAATGACTTGTTAAGAACTTCTTGCTTACTAGTTACACACTACATTTACCGCCGTCGTAACGAATAACGGGTAACAACCGCGCCCATTCATTACGCCAGCGAAATTCTTTTACTTTTCACTTTACTTTTACGTTACTCTAAGATTGAAAATGATTCTTCTCCGCACATCTACTACACTTCTAACCCGTGCAGATTCCCCAAGCAGAACTCACAATGATTTCGAGAAACCGAACTGAATCCCGATTTTCTTGCCGGCAGGGAGCGATTAATTTCGCCAACGGCCGCGAAACACCCGTGACGGTGCGCTTCCTTCTCCGGGATGATATTTCAAAGGGTAATCGCTGACTCTCGATCCTCCGGGTCGAGGAAAAATGGTTTCGCACGACCTAGACGCGCGCGCATGCCCTCGCCATCGATAACGTTTTTTCGACGCCGGCTCGGACGTGCGCGTAAATCCCTTTATGAGCGTCGCGTCACGAATTCACGGCTTGTCGCCGATTTTATTGCGCGGCGCGGATCGCACGGGCGCGCGCACAGTCGCGGCCTTTTACGCCGCCTCGAGAGCTAGAAGTATCGCGAAACTTCCGGCATTCCGTCTGGCGATGCACGCCGGAGTGTGTAAGGTGCGCGCGTGTCGAACCGCCGCGTAGACGCGGCGTAAAACGCGTATCTCCACGATGTACGGACCGTTTCGAATCGTAGCCTGCCGGTGCGCGTGACGGTGTTCTTTCAGCAGGTTGAGCGATTACAATGCCCGACGATACGGCCATGACGGAGTCGATGTTTCGTGCGCCGGTAGAAGGGACGATAGACGGATACGCGGTTTACGCCGATGATCACCACGGGTGTCTCCTCCCTTCGTACGCGAGCCTTGCACTTATCGTCCCTCCGACGTTCGCGATCGTTGGCGGACGGAGTAAAATGGCCGAGTTTGAGAAAGATCGAATTTTTCCCTCCCCCTCGTCGTTCGAAGACTTCCCGGGTCTGTCGCGGAATTGTATAAAGCGTCCTCCGATTTGCCGGCGTTTGAGGCGAACGCGTGCGAACGAGATTCCGTTCTAATTTGATTTAGGAAATTGCGGTAAATAAGGGGGAACACGCGCGACTGAGCTTACCGGTCACCCTGAGATTGAGATTTACCGCAGTATAGCTGAAGAAGTTGCGCTTTGCGAGCCTCGGGGGTCGCTGCTCGAGCTGTTGATCGCTTGAAGCATTTTGTACTGATCTCTTTACTAATTTGTCTTCACGGCCACATAATTGGTAGATTCAGCGAAATGATCCAACAAATGGCAATTAGTACTCTTAACGAGTCGTTTCGCTGTCCACCGGTGGCAACTGACAGATTTTCTCGCGATAGCGAGAGAAATTTGTCGCGCCAGTAAATTATTTTTCTCCCCGTGCACGGACGTCGGCGGTGAGTTTGGAAATCCGAGTGAGTCGAAACCATACCTCGCCGCGGCGATAATTGCCGCGAATTAGTCTTCCAAATCGGCCATGCGCGCTTCTACTATTCCCTCCCGTACTTTTATCGCCGACAAATCATTCGGCGTCTCTCTCTCTCTTCCTCTCTCTCCCTTCACCTCCACCCTCTTTCTCTCGTTCCGTCGACAATCGCGTGATCATTAGGCGTAAATAACAATTAGTCGAGATCCCGGCTACGTTAAGCTGAAATCACCCCCGCGTCCGCTTTTTCCATTCTCGCTGCTGGTGGATTATCGCGGCCGCCATAAATTCCACTTACTCGCTCACGACGATCGCGTAATGATCGATAATCGGACGATGAACCATCATTTCGCGAGAAACCCCGTCTGCTCTTACCTCGCCACGTTTCTTTCGGACGAGACATTTCTTCGTGCTCGTGGCTTCTTTGTGTATCAGCCCCCGTGTAAAGTAATATTACGAAAAGGAGAAAGTTTTCTACGCCAAACTTCCGAGTCGAAATTTCGACGCCACTTTGAAGAGCTCTTAACGATAGTTCGCGCATATTTAGTTTGCCTTGAAAACCTGCTTTAACAAGGAGACGGTAAGGTGATCCTACGATTACAGATCGAGTTGACGCAAGAATTGTTCGCGATAGCGTCATTCTGAAATAATTACACGCGACATCTCGGCGACGCGCGGCGCTAATTAAAGGATGCTATGAAATAACGCAGCGGGTAACGCGCGATTTTGACACCGGCGATAAATCTCGCGTCGCAATTCCAAGACAATGCGCGTAGATATCCGATAATCGGCGTGGAACAATAAATTTCGTCGAAATCGAGCGATCAGGTGCAGGTGTATTACAGGTGCGATACCTGTCGCCGGCTATGACCGCGCGCACATGGGGCAGGTGATTGCCGACAGAATCATTCCTTTGTGATCTAGAATTGATCTTGATGAGCCGACCTTCGCGTAATACACCGGCGTCAAAGTTCGATATTTCCTCTAGACGCGTTACAGCTCGCGGATACCATCGCTATCACGCGTTTTTACTCAAGTAAGCCGGGGGTAACGCCTCGTATATATTACACTGGCGTGACGTGCGTATTAATTAGCAGCGTCTGTAGCGTGCGACGAGCCGGCGGTTGATAATTATTATTTTATCAGCGACAACGTTCCTCATTTTACACGTGATATCGCAAAGTAGATCGATGCTAATAACGACAGAGAGAGAGAGAGTGCACGATCGTAAGGAAAGATATTTATATTTTTTTTTACTCGAACTCTTTCCTCTCATTACGTCAATTAGACAAGAAAAACATCAAAACCGACATACCGCATTCTCTTTCTGGACTCTAAAGTCCCGTCGAGGGCGTATAATTAAAATGTATGTACATGCAGGTATTTTTACAGTATTATTTACATTTTTTGACAATAAACATTTTATATTGCATATCTTTTATCACGTGGAAAGGGAAAGCCCTGATTTTTTTTACGGCT